GTGAGGGAGGAGGTGCTCGCATTTGTTGCTTTCAATACCCTAGTCTCAAGGACAGCTGAAACTGGTACTTGTAAAGTAAATGTATCTGTTTAGCAAACCAAACCAAACTTCTTTAGCATAAGAAGAGTGAAATTTAAATGTTACAACGAGAAGTTCATCTGAATGCTTCGCATGTTTAACGCTGATTGCTGTTTCCTCCAAGTTCCTGTAGTACTTCTCCGGCACAACAAGCCTTGCCAGCCTTTCTAGCTGATGCAGCAGCAGCCGAACTCAAAGCAAACAGGAGCTGAGCTCTGCTGGCGTGTGCTGGAGGCAGCAGGTTGGGCGCTCGTACATAAACCAACAGCGCCAGCTGGAGTTGTGTGTGCGTGTGTAGAGCCTCGCCCGGGATGCTGCGGGCTCGGGAAGAGCATCCCGCCAGGAGGGAAACTCCCACTCGGGTTCACTTGGAGCCAGCAGGAATTTTGCCACTCCCTTCCAACTAATTTATTTTTTTATCAGAAGAAAACAAGCTTTCTCTATGACTAAAGGGTATAGACATAGCCCCATGCCATAAGCATTCAGCTTATTTACTTGGACCCAAATGTCATTTCCGTTGTCTGGACTTTGCTCTGTATTATCAGGTCAAATATAGTTACAGAGAGACCCCAAACTGGATATGGGCAGGATATGGCATGGAAATACATTGGCAAAAGCCTGAATTGTTAGTGGCATTGGATGAAAAGACAGAACAGAATTATTTTTAAGGTCTGGTATTTGATTTCATCCTTAATAATTTGTGAAGAAAAATCCCTTGTGCAAAAGAAATGTTTTTAACGCAGAACTAGAGAAACTAAAGGATTCACAATGGTAGTGTTGTGGGTATTGAATTTTCACAAAGCTTATTTAGTTGAGTGCTGGATAGCAAATTTATGTCCATGGAGATAATGTAAGTATATTTATGCATATTAAGTATGCCATCATAGTTAAATATGTAAACTCGAGTGCTTGTGCTGTCTATGTGGTCATAACGTGCACCATACTATCAAATGCTTTAAAGGAGAGAAAGCGTGTTCCAAAATGTAGTGAACTTAGGACATACCACAGCTGAACATCTGGGAGCACATCACAGATGAAAAATCCTGGCTTTCCCTTCTGCTGCAGCTCCGGGACACGTACTCCAAGAGTGGCATTGCTTGTCTCACCGGGGAGGAAATCGGAAACTTCATCCAAGACTCGGATCTAATTGAAAGCGAAGACAGAGCGGCTGATCCCTGCTGGCAAGTAAAGTGGCACCTGGGAAAGTTAATTAAAAAGGTATTTGGGAACTGACACACTGAAACAGTGTGCTTGGTGATATTACAATTCGACAAATCCTAGCAGTGGAATAAAGGGGAGGGGGCTCTCAGATTGTTTTATTGCAAAGCAATTGTCAAGCCACAGCTTCAGCTGCAGAGTGCTTGCACTGAAGCCAAAAAACCCCATGACAGTGGTTTCACTCCATTCAGGAAATAATAAAGCAAAGACAATCATTTTTTACTAAGCGAATTTCAGAGATAGGTTGGCTTGTCTGAAATACCTCAGGGTAGAAGTGTTTGACTCGAGCTTGCTTTCTACCTGACCGAGCGGATCTGAGTGCTAGCAGAGGTGTCAGTCCCTCTTTGGAAATACAGGGAGGCTGGCCTGAGAAAATGAGGTGAAATGTAACACAGTGAGAGGTAAAAAGGTGCCTGAAGAATGGTCTAGTCATGAGCCGTGTAATGTATTAGGGGAGGAAAGAGCGAGCAAGCACACAGCGTTGGGCACAGCACTTGCCCCGCTCAGCATTCAGAGAACGCCATCTTCTGCATGACTTACACACAATACACATAATTTTGGCTACAGAGGAGAAAATAAGCCTAGCTGAAAAATCAGAAAGGCTAAAATCTTCTGGAATGATTTTCCAAATCCCATCTCCCGCACATAAAAAAGCTCATCCTTAAAAATTCACTCCTGGCTGAAACTTAACTGGTAAATCTTTCAGCCCAAAATAGATCCTCTATTTGTATTCAGAGATCTCGGTTCCTTTGGTGGAAGTTCTGCCAGTAAAGTCCCTGAAATTCTGCATAAGGAAAACATTGTTTTATTTGGTGGACATTTACACATCTAATATACTTACTAGCTCCCTGATTGCTTAAAGTAAGATAGCCTGGGTGCCAGAAGTAATAAATGATGGTTATAGTGATGATGATTATGATGATGGTAATAATAATATAGATGGATGGATAAGTAGATAAATAGAAATGTGGCGGGGCAGAACCCATCAGTAAGTGGCAATACAGGGCCCGTGTAGTCACCCAGGTAAATCATCTCAAACCATCAGCATGCCTGTGCCTGCACCTGCACCACTGTCAGTAACCAAACGAGTTCATTTCAGCAGCGAGCAGTTATAAAGCTGAATGCACAAAGTAAAATATGCTGGCTTAAGAGCTTACATAGATAGATAGGTAGAGGTATAAAAACAAAATAAAATTTAATTTAATTTCTCAGCTAAGATCCCAGAGCAGTGCGCACTGCCAAGTATTCTACAAATGGAGGGTGATGGTTGTACACTCTATCTCTTCTCATTTAAGAAGAGCACGAGGGTCAATTTTTCCAGTAGACTTGAAGCTCAGATGACTGAGATCTCTTGAAAATGTTTTCCCACGTATTCCGTTAGATAAAAGATGTAAATAGAAATATTTCATTACAATAAATTAATAGGCGCTTTTTAAAATTATTATTTTCTTGTTGATCAAATCCTTTTATTTATGAGTTTGAGAAAGGAGTCTCTTTTTCTTGTGCCTATCAGTTTCTGCTGACAAACTGATTTGTTTTCTGTGTTTGTTGACAGATGATTTCAAGAAGCTATGCGGAAAACATCTCTGCAGTCAACGGTATTTTAATAATTTTATTATCTGTGGCAAATAGGAGCTGCTAGTGGCACGTGATGTGTAGTGACTCAATTTTTTAAAAGCGCAAAAAACACTAAGATCTTGTACTGGCAGCAAGTCATCACAAAATGTTACTAGAAGGCAAATTTTCAGGAGCCACAAATGTGGTCAAGTGGTTAGAGCAAGGTAACCAAGGTGGGTGCAGAGGACTCAGCTTCTAGACCTCAGTACCACAGTGTGACGGGGACACTTAAACAGCCCGCTCTCTCGGGAACAGGCATCACTGAACTGCTGTACGCAGAGATCAGTTGAGGAATAGCTCTGCTGAAGCTCATACAGCTCTAAATATGTTGAGTGAAAGCATTACAACCCCCAGGTGGAAATGTGGAGTAAAGATTATGAATGCTTGACCATGAAAGATACTGATCATGAGTGTGAAAATTTAATACAATGGGTTATTTTAAGTTGTCTTGGTAACTTTGGGGTGGGGGAAGGAGAGAAAGAAGAACAAAGAGGTGTATAAAGACATTTCAAGAGCAAGAGTGAAAGAGAAATTTGAGCCTTTTTAGCCAATATTCATTCAACCATTCAGTCAATGATTTAGTCAATTAAAAAAATTACATACCTCTTCCTTAAAATTGGGTCAAATGGGACAGACGTGTTTTCTAACATCCTTACTTCTAACATGAGGTTCCATTTGTGATCTTTCCTCAGCTGAAAGAGCCCTGACGCTGTCGCGCACCGATGGGCAGCAACCACGCGGTCCCGTCAACAGGATCGCGGCGCATCTGACCGGCAACAGCAACAGGAAGAATTCCCTGTCCCCACGCAGTAAGGAAAAACCTTTAAAAACAGTTAAAGATCACAGAAATTACTCTCTGATTGCTAGCTTCATGCTTACATACACTTTTTAATACTTGCATTGAGCCAGTAGTAAGAAACAAAGCATTAAAAAAGTCTTCTTGTTCCAGACAACATGTTTTTTAGCTAATTTTCACAGATATCTCTGGATACCTCCCTAAATTTTCTTCTGGAACCTTCATTATGGGAAAAAAAAAATATCCTCCTTCCTAGTGTTAAATTCTCCTCTGTTCTTTCCTTTAATTTCCTTCCGTTAGTTGTGTGAGTCCCAGCTGCTATGGTGACAGACCTATTAGAAATGCAAGACAAGAGAGACTTGACATTCAGGCCGTAATAATGAAAAGCTTGGTAGGGTTTCTACCGCTTTGGAAGGTATCGGACACAAATGGATCTTTTAACTTTGTTACTAAGTGGCAACATGATTATTTTTGTCTTACTGGTGAGCACAAAAGCTCACCAATTCCCACATACAGCTAAACAGCTCTGGACCTTCAAATTGTTTTGAGAATGGACCTAATGAACCGCTGGGAAGAGCAGATTTCCTTACTTTGTTACTAAAACCCAGACTCCCCAGCTAGCGGATAACTGGCTTCACTACCTGGCTTTTAATTTAACATTTTCTCTCTTTTTTTTTTTTCCTCAAGTAGATCCCTCAGCCAGAAGAGGGAACGGACAAAAAATAAACAACTGGGAATCGTCAAGGAAAGGCCACTCTTTCCTTTACAACGTGGAGCTGAGAAATGGCGAGTTAGTAATACCCCAAACGGGCTTTTATTACATCTACTCACAAACTTATTTTCGCTTCCGTGAAAATGAGAACGAGGATTCAGATTTGTTGGCACAAATCAGGAACCCCAAGCAACTTGTCCAATATGTTTACAAGCTGACTAATTACCCAGAGCCCATTTTGCTCATGAAAAGTGCAAGAACAAGCTGCTGGTCCAGAAAGGCAGAATATGGACTTTATTCCATCTATCAAGGTGGTGTGTTTCAGCTGAAAAGAGAGGATAGGATTTTTGTCTCTGTCAGTAATGGTGACATAGTTGACATGGATAAAGAAGCAAGTTTTTTTGGAGCCTTTATGATTGGTTAAAAGGGCAAAATTATGCTCCAAAGGAGCCAGTTTTCATAGCCAGGACCAGCTTAAAATTCTATAAAGCGGGGGATAATAAGCAAACACTGTAGCAATACGGACACTACCAGACTCCCCTTTCTCAGCTCACCCAGCGTGAGGTCCCACCGTGCCGAATGACTCTCCCGGCAGCTGGGAAGGAGCAGCAGCAGCTGGCGATGCTTGTGCAGGCATGGGCACCACGGCTCGCCGCCCAGCCAGGCTGGGGACGTGCCGGGATTTCACCGGCCACAGACGACACCTTCGGCCAGAACACCAGGCAGGTAAGCGCTCACCACCACCTCCACAGAGATGCCCCACACCGGCTCAGCCATGGCAGGTGGGGTGGAGGATGCTCTGAGTCTGGTCACTCGAGGCTGAGACTGGACATCAGATTTGTTTGTGGTCTCCTTTGGGGCCCTGCCTTGAATATCTGAGCTCCTGGAAGGAGCCTTTGCAAGTACTGCTTCCCGGACGCCTGTGGAATTACCCTGGAAGTTTTTGTTGAACCTGAGTTTTACAAAAGTTGAAATGCCATCAGAAACAAACTGCACGTCTCCATCTCATCTGACAAAGCACTTAAGCACCTAATTAATTTTAAGCACACAACAGTCTGACTAAATCAGGGTATTTACATGCTTGAAATTAAATATGTGCTTAAGCATTTTTCAGGCTCATGGCTTGAGTAAACACATTAGTCTGTCTTAATCAGGATATTGTACATAAAAACAGCTGCTGAAATGGCACAGAAGAGACTTTGAAATCAATCAGTATTTTGATCAGCACATTATGATAGTGCCTATTTACTTAATTGCTGTGCTGCAAAGATTTCACCAGGCTTCCAGTAGTTTCAGTGATGTAGCTGCCATTACATTTGTTGACAGCAAGTACTTGATCCAGAAAAGAAGTGGTTTTCTGTAAATACGGAATTCTATTAGACATTTGCCACAAATTAAGCATGACATGGTTCCTCCAGGTTTATTTGTACTGGCCTGTATTTTGTAGGATGTAGTGCAGAATAACACACCCCAATGACTAATATTTTAAGGACAACAACTATCCGTACTTAAACAAGATCTGCATATTTAGGTAAAGCTGTTTTATTTTATTTTGAGGAATAAGTGGAAAATTTTCATAATTTTTTTAAACCATAATTTTTATTAAAACTGACTGCTATATTTTTTAACTCTATGAGTAGGATTATTTTATATTAAAAAAAAAAAAAGGAAAAAAAGATTTGCAAATGTAAGTTGTGTGGACTAGATCCACAGCAAAAGTCAGGTAGCATAAATCAGCACACCTGCAGCATTGTCAGAGGAGTGACAGCGATTTGCACCATGAATACATTTTGCCCAGGTTTGGAGAAAACAGCGGGGAAAAGAGAGTGAAAGTGAAAAAAAAAATATGGAGGGAAAGGCAGGCAGTTGTTCTGCAAATATTACTTTACATCAGCAAAACGATGCCAGGAGAAAGTCTGGTTGTCTAGTTTTAATACACTAAGGTTGCCGTGGGAACCCTCACATTCACCTCCACGTTCTGGTAGTTAAGTCACTCTACAGCCCTTGCATATGGGCCCCATGACTAAACATGCATCCTTCCTCTTACTTTGTCAACAAAAGGAAATGAATAGACACAAGCCCCAGCAGTTATTTTGCGTTCAGAAAAGCAGGTATGTTACTTCACTTAAATACTTGTGTTTGAGCCACAAGAATTTTAGGAACACCCTCCTTTTGGCAGGTTAGGGCAAAGAAACGCTGCCATAAGCCTAAAATGATGACTTTCAGCTTCTACATGCTGTTTTAATGTAGCATCACACATACTGTTTTCAGTGGTGATCAAACATGTGAAATTCTTCATCGTTTACTGGAACACTTTGGTTTGCCTCAATCTCCAATCATCCGTTTCAACAGAGAACAGAAAATATTTCTACAGTTTTCTTTCTGATTTCACTAATTCAGAATTTTTCTGCCTGCCAGAAAAGGCTAGGGAGAGCAAAGCCATGTCTGGATGTCTGCTGTATTGCAGAAATGACTTTTGTATGTTCTCCTTGCAAATGGACCAGGCTTTTCATTCTCAGCACAGGACTGACCCACGTTATCAGGTTTGAGGATCTTTTTTTAGAAATTTATTATATTAAAAAGTTGTTTGGGTTTGGTTGTTTTTTTTTTTTTCTGTGTGTGTTTTGTTTTTTGGGGTTTGTCTTTTTTAGAAATGTGATTTTAGGAGCTTGTTTGAAAGCAAATTTATTTGAACTGTGAAAAAGTGTTTTGGATTTACTGGTGGCAGCTTAAGAGTCAGAAACCCTCCCTGTGGCTAAGAACTGATTTGTGTAACGTAGGAGTCGTGGCTGCTAGAAAGGACTGGAAGGAAACGGTGAGGGACTCAACAGACTTGAAGCTGATGCTAAGACCAACTATTACACACGGATATTTTGCTCCATGTTCTCAACTCTCAATATGCCCACCCAACACTAGACCCAGGCTTGCCTGGGGAATGCTCCCTGGCATTACCTGCACCAAATAATCGTATTTTATTTCTGAGTAATCCAAAGGCATGCTTGCCAGATATTATCTTGGGGGGAAGTTATAAAGCAATATCAGGCAGGACCCATTTGAAGATAAATGGAAAAATATATAGCAGCTTCTGTTTGTATATTTGCACCCTGAATCATACCTTTCATCTCACTGTATGTTGAATGGCAGATGTAGCAAATTTTTATTTGTGAATGTAGGTTGTGGTAACATGGAAATATTGTAATTTTTCTACATGCGTTTTATATAAAACATTTTTATTAAATAGTTACTTAGTCTTGCAGTGATTACTGGTGTCATCCCGTGGCTTCCCTAACAACCACCCTGTCTGAAATAGTTTCTCTGACATTGGTTCGTATCAGTTATAAGCCATGAAACGCCACAAACGGTTGCAATGCAAAGGACATCATGCAAACCACTGAGCAACACCATATTGTGTTAATGCCCTATAACTGCCTTCCAGACCCTAGTTCACGAACAGCATCTGGAAGCAGTACACTGAAGAAATCACTGAAAATGACCTCATGACCAGAGACTACAAAATGCTGAGCACTTCCCTTGAGGTTTTTCTCATGTTTCTGGGCTTTGGCAGTAATTTAAGCACTGAGAAATCTATTTAGTAGCAAAACATCTGATCCTTGCCCATTACCAAACTACAGTAGAAGATATATTGAACTGAGAGGATCATTTACACAGATGATTTTTAAAGAGCAGTAAACTGGAGGTCCCCTAATGTTGAAAACAAATGCACTCCCTGCCCCAAAAGCACACATGGGATATTATTTGGTCTACTCACTCCACTTTTAAATTTGCCCCAACCAAAAAAAAAGTATGAAACTCAAGCAAACCCTGGAAAAATCAACAAGACACGAAAGGATCATCTAACCTGACCCCCAGCCCTGAGATGGGAGAGAGGGTGGTTTTGTCCTGCGCCTACAGAGAAGGGCTTTGACCAGAGCAGCAGCAACATGCCACAGCAGGGAAACCAGTTGCTCCTGAGTTACAAACCCCCGGGAACACTGCCCCCACCGTAGCCACCCCCAGGGGCTGTTTCACCTCTGTGTCTCCTTTTGACATCGCCTTCTCTCCGCAGTTCCCAGTATCTTGCTCTCCCTGTACTGGGCCCTGGCAGATCCACACGTGGCTGTTTTATGCACCGCACATCTACGTGATTAACAAAAGGATGTCTGCCTCCCTAATGGACTCATAATCTAAGTATATTTAGCCCAATGTTTGTGTTAGGCTTTATTCGGAATAGCTGGACATGCCTCAAGTCTTGGTTGTCGGACGCGTAGGTCTGTGTGTGTGTGTCTCCACATCCACACCAAGTCCCACTGGAACCAGTATGCCATCGCTGGGGAGGAGCAGCCCCCACCACTGCAGCTCCAAATTGCAGGGATGCCCACAGGTTTTAAAAATAAATTATTCCTTTTGTAGAGACTGCTTTTATTTCAGCAGAGGGTTCACACTTTTCCGTGTTTCCATGGGAAAGAGGACATGCCAGCTAACTGGCTTTCATTGTCCCTTTCATTATTTCATGGAAACAGACTTCTATTTTTTCCCTCTCTTTGCCTTAGTAAACATTATTATTATTGTTAGTATTGCAGCAGTACTCACTGCCCAGGCAGGATCAGGGATTCATTTGCTGTACTCTGTGCAAACAGTTAAAAAGTCTGATTCAGACACAGAGATTTTAAGATTCCTAATTTTATTTTTCAGATTGAATCTAAATATTAGGGTCTAAGAAAGGACTGAATGTAATGATCAATATAACATCAAGCAGCACACTGAGATAAGATCTCGTTCATCCCTCCAAGGCACCTTGTGCCATTCGGTAGCAGAAATGGAAGACTGATTAGGATCTCATTGGATTTGATCTAATTTTCATAGGTTGAGCTTTTTTTCATTTGGAGCTACATTGAAGTTTATAGCAATTCGCATCAGAATCATCCAAAATTCATAACTGGTTCTCCATAACTTTTCTCTATGTTAACAAACTGAAATTGCATGCTCTGTCACATGTTAAAAATCATCCATTTTCCTCTGATTACACGGGTACCAGAGTTCACTGCCTGACCACCACATCACTGTTGCTTTGCAATACTATGCCTGTTCCTGAGACATTCATAATCTGAGCCTATATGGACATTTCCATTCATTTCTTGTGAAAGTTTTAGGGATGACATCAAGTTGGGACACTGGGTTGTGACAGAAAAGCTGTCCGACTGCTCATGGTCAGTGCAGTGGGGCTGCAGCTTATGGCAGAAGCATGTTGGTTTGAGCATCTTCCAATTTTTATGGGTGGTTCTACCAGAGTTAATATAAATCACACTCCTTGCCTTCGATGCACATTATACTTCTGCACTGAACACATCATGTATATAAAACTGACAGCATTAGCAAACATCACGGAAGGCAAAGTTGTTCAAACTGCTTTTTAGAAACCAGCAATTTAAACACAATGAAATTCAAGGCACAAATTTCTCCTCAAGATACATTCGATTTTGTCTGATTGTGAATTTTTCAGCTCGTATTTGTATTGAGTCATGGGTATTTAGCCCATATAACCACTGAGTGAAGACAAAGTGGATTAACTTCGGATTTGCTGGAGAACTGAGTCAAGTTATCACTCCCCATTTAACGTGAGATAGAATTATCAACAAGAGAGTATGACGGGGAATAATTAACTATGCAATCCCACGCTGTATGTTCTGGCACTAACAACACTCAAATCATAATGAATATTAATAAACAGATGCAAGTCAGGTGAACATTTCCACCCAAAGCCAGGACAGCTTTGAGTCAAAACCTGCAGATCTTCTTTGTAGAGAATGTCCAATGGTATAAAAAAAAATACAGGATACATCTACTACTCGCATGCTAGTAATTATTTAATAAACACTATCTAGTTTTAACCCAGAATAAACATACCTGTGATGAACCATGTTCTCTCCACTTGGCGAACAAGTCTAATGCAGAGGGACATTAATTCCCAGGGTGTGACCAAGCAGCACAATGAGCTGAAGCCCTGCAAAAAGCCAATTCTTAAACAGATGCCTCTGAATCAGTGGCATTAGAGCACAGCTTTGCTGACTAATAAACTAACACTGTTCTGAAGTCTGCTTGCAGATGTTTACTGCCGTATAAAAACCAGTAAAGTCATTTGAGCACATTCTAGGTTTTATGTTATTTTGTTGGATTACTGCTAGTTCATCAGCACTACTCACTTAGAGTTACTAAACCATAACCTTTGAAAGAATATACCAGATGCTACCTTCTGTTCTTAAAATACATTTATAATAAAAGTCAAAACATCTTCTGCCCCTGGATATAATAAAAACCCCTGCATTTGCTTTTCTGCAAATTGTTGGAGGTGCATCATCTTTAAATGGGAGATCTCTCCCTTGAAGTCTTTCATTTTCTTCATCTCTCCACAATAAAACCATAATCGGTCTATGTTCAAAGCCTTCAGATATTTCCATGACAACAAACAATGATATAAACAAGAATTAAAACTTTATTGGATGAGAAGAAAATGGAAAGAACGGAACATAGGAGAGAGATTTCAAAACTCCATAAATAGAAACTCTTCTACCTTATCTCCAGTGCTCAACACAGCTTTAAAGCTGGTGAAGAGAAGCACCAATATTTTAAGAGTTCCATGAAAGGCAAATGCCCATTATAATGTGCTTTTTAAAATTATTTTTTAAAAAAATCTCTCTTCTGTTCATACAGCCAGTTAGTGGATAAAACTGTGAATAAAAAGTACTTAACTTCTATGTCTTTCTCCTCATTTCTCTCATCCCAATATCAGTGACTTCAATCTTTTCTGCAGTTGTTAAGGCAACATAAAAGTACTGTTGCAGCTGAGGGCTAGTAGATAAATTTCTGGAGCCTAAAGCCATCTTATCTCACAGCTCTTATATCTTCTGTCACCACTATCTTCACCACTGTCCTTCAGCACATGCAAAGCAGAGGCAGGAATTCATTATCACGCAAAGTTTGTGGGATATCAATCCTTTATATCCCATCAAAATTTAGCTTGAAATTGCCAATGCAATCAGAAACAGAAAACTGGAGCTGCTTTTCTTCTCTCTCAGCTGACATTTTTTCTGTGCCTGACCCCATGAAGGAAAAGCAGCCAGAGAAGCCCTTGACTCACGATAGCCTTTAAACTAGGGGACCGATGTTGCTGGATTCAAAGCACAACTGCCATTTCTGATCCAAGTGGCTCATCACTCCGCAGATCAAACTCCCAGTGAATTGTTAATTCATTACATTACAAGCTCAAGTTGTCCAGAGTACACAAATCTGGTGCTACCTCACTTTGGTGAGTTGGTTTTGCTACACACAACTCGGTTCAAGCATTAGTTTAATAAGGAACAGATTTTGTTCTGAAAAAAAAAAAAAAAAAAAAAAAAAAAAAAAAAAAAAAGAAAGCTTTCCTCTCTCTGAGGGAAGGAAAATGGTCTTTTTTGACAAGATACAGCTCAGCAAAAACTGGAAGAAGTTCATGAGAATGAACGATCCTCTCTACACAGAGAAGTCACATTTATAGCTTCAGGCCATTTTCTCTGCCAAATATCAACATTATCAACATCCTGCAGCTAATTCCACTGGTCTGAGAATTTATCAAGACAAAAAAAAAAAAGTGAAATAATTCTATGTAACAATACAAAGTATTTGGCAACCCAAATGCAGAGGCAGTAAGGCAGTTACCAGCTCCTCCATAATATAACGCAATGCCATTTAAATTAGATTGGACACAAATTTCTAATACGAAATAACTGTACATTGGTGGCATACAGCCCATGAATTTTCTTCAGAAACATATAAAACAATTACACATGCAGCTGGATAAACAAAGTGAGAAGCAGGTTGGGCTCTTTCTTCCCTTCAACTGCAATTAATGTGTACCCATGCCCCATAAAATTTAGCAACTGTTGAGCAACTTGCTACAAAACTGTCTCACGGTTGAAGAGCAGGAGTGATGAATACTGATTTCAATTAAACTGCAAAAATGTATCATCCAAATCAGGATAGGGACACGGCACTAAGGCTGACGCTTTCATTATTACAGAAGGTAAATGACAAACAGGCCCGTTCGGGGGCCCAGGGCGAGCACCACAGCGTTGTGTCACACCACCCTTGTGCTCTCCCCCTAAACAGAGCTCTGCGGCGACGGAAGAGCAGTGCCAGCCCCGTGGGCACACGCATGTCAGCGCACCCTGGAAAAACAGCATCCAAGTGTTTCCCAGCTGAACTAAGCTAGATGCCAACGCGGGCTCAGAGCACCGGCTGCGCCCTGAGAGGTGGGGTGCGAGGGAAGGGGTGCAGCCCCTCTACACAGAGGGACAGGAGGGAAAAATTATTGTGCTGTCGCACATTCTCTTTGAGGCTTTGTGGGGACAAGGATGAGAGACACCCCCTTTACAGGTGTGATGCTGCCCCTGATCCC